CCTGCCGTACCTGCGAAGGAAAGCGGTGAGAAAGAAGCTGGAGCTCCACAGGGAAAGCCACGCAAACCTCAGAACCGCAGCTTTCCTACAGAAAGCCGGAGCAGAGGAACCGCGCTCCCAGCAACAGCTGTGCCGACGGCAGCAACGGGCGACGCTCCCCGGGAACCCGCAGGTTGGGGAACCGGTGGGTTTTGGCAAGGCGAGCGGGAAGGCTGCTCTGCAGAGGTAGGTGGGCTCTCCTACCATGGTGCCCCCTCCCCGGCAAACGAGCGCGTTCCTGGCTGGCGGCTCTGAACAGCTTCGCCAGCGCGTTCGCGCTGCGCCTCGGTGCCGCCCGCGGTCACCCATGCTTCTGAAACCCTACTGTGGGCGATGGAAGGAGCCCTCACCCCTTGCTTACAGAAGCCAAAAATCCCAAGGAAAACGTTCGTGACAGCGCCCTCCCAGAGAGGATTCTGCTCGGAGCAGGGCACTGGGCAGTGAGAAATCCCTGGAAGTGTCCAAGGCCAGGCTGGATGTGGCTTTGAGCAACCTGGTCTGGTGGAAGGTGTCCCTGCCCATGGCAGGGGGGGTGGGACTGGATGATTTTTAAGGTCCCTTCCAACCCAAACCATTCTATGATTCTATGATCCAAGAGACCTTGGACTGGGGCAGCGGGATGCCAGAGGGGGCTGCCTCAGAGAGAAGGGAAAAGCTGTTTCCTTCGACTCCCCGGGGTTGGCAGCGGATCCTGTTACGCGCACTGCGGAGTCCTCCGGCTGCGCGGGCCGGGACATCGCGGATTAGGCAGCGTAGTTCCCCAAGCAGCTACGGGCGTTCACTGTGAAATCTGCCAGCTCCTACATCCTCAAGTTTTGTTCACTTGAGAGTTTCACCCCTCCGTCTCCTGAACGCTGCGGGACCAGGCGACGCATCCGTCCGTGAGCGCGTGCCTGGGGAGCTCCGCAGCCAACCGTTCTGACATGAAATTTAAGACCAGCTCAGAATCCCTGTCCAAAGGCAACGA